ACGTATTAGGACAAAAAAAAGAGCAAAATGAAAACTTACATTGAAAAAAATACTGATCTTTTTTTTTTTTCGGGGGGGGGAGATAAAATTTGGTTCACTTAAGGACATAAATGCCTTTTTCTTTCATAAGCAATCTTTCACAATTTTAATTTTGTAATTTCCATATATCATGATACTAAATTTCAACTGGTGATCTAATATCCGAAAATATCCCAAACCAGGATTCGCGAAGTCCCGACGAGTTAAGATCTCGACTTTGTACTGTATTAAAATTATTGTTTAATGATTATAAAATATTTTCAGTAATGTACGATTTTTGTTAAATGTGTTTCAATATTGAAAATCTCACACGTGCTTAGATACTGGTACACCAAAATCTGCTTTAAGAACTATAGGATGTATATATTTTCACAGATATCAGTATCCACAAAAACTCTATTACGCGCCAGCAATATTCGTGACTAACTCTATAGCTTGTTACGAAAATATAACTTAGAAGAAATTCCGCTTGTGTTTGTTAAATAAAAACTGTAGACACATTAAATTTGCCTCTAAAGAATATTAATAATGTGTTTAAAACTCTTACACTTTTCAGCTCATAAAACTGAAATACTGAAGGTTTTTAATTACCTATTATTTGCTATATTACGCATTACACTTATTTTATTTGATTATGGTAAAGCACTAGAGGGCTACCTGCCTAAAAAGAGGGTTGCCTTCTTGGAGGACAATCGAAATGAAATTGGCTCGTATATACGTTACATACGGGGAAAAGCCCGAAAACTGTAGTATGACTAGCCATCCCGTTCAGCATGTAGCCTGCCTGTTCACCAGCATCGAACCCAAGATCGAACTACCAGTGTTCAGTGAATTTACCGCTCGGCCGCTGGTGGGATATTATGCGTTATAATGGTAAGATTAATCTTTACACTTCAGTATAATTAGATACAGACTTTTCTAGGTAGGTCAGATACTTCCATCGAAACCATTCTTTATGCAGATTTCAATGCAGAATACGATATTTGACTCCATCAACTTCGTTTCATTCAGATTTTGTAAAACTTTCGTCAGAACAGATTCATAGTATTGCATTTTAAAGACAAGTACATAAATCTTAATTCCTTTATCTATTTATGTAAACCAATATTTTGTAAATAAAATCAATATTTATATAACCCACATTTTGTAAATGTAAATACAATTTTAAAAAGATATTTATGCTTTAAATAACATCATTTCTTAAAATCTTTCCGACTATGTTTCCCACCCAGTCTTCAGTTTCATATTAAATGTCAAATTAAATCAGACTTAAATTCCAATTCGAATTAATTCCAACTCAAAAGTCGAATAATTTTGATTTACTTTATACTACACTTAAAAAGTACCTAAAATTTCCAAAGAATGCTTTCATTATTAACAGGAGAATAAAAGCTTAACAAATATGTTTAAGGACTTCGAATGGCATTTAACATTGTACAAGGTACTTAAAAAACTCCATGATTATGTGTCTCTTAAATAAGTACCTCATTTAAATAGATTCCCGATTGACGTCGCGCAAGTAGTGTTAATGAGAAAACTGTTTTAAGTGATTGCCGTCCATTTTAAATAGTCAAACAGAGATGTCTACATTCGTGAGATCAAATTGCTCAAGACGGCATTATTTAGAATCGTAAAGGACACTGTGAAAACATTATTGAAAAGAAAATTCATTTCATGTTTTCGAAAGATAGTTTCTAAAAGACATCTTTTAATTTTAAAAAGTTCATTTAGAAACATTTATTTAAAATAACCCATTCTACAAAAAACTTAAATTTTGATCTCTAAATCCACACTTCCTTTGATACTTTTTTCAATGGAGGAAAAGGATATATTTTTTTTATCCTCGCCAATTTTGTACATTATGAACTGATCTCTTTTTAGCCAGAAAACATTTGTTAGGACAATGACCAACTTAATAAATGGAACTTTTTCGGAAAGCACTTATAACAATTTAATTTAATATATTTTTGCTCATGTGGCATGTCTCATCATATTCTGAAGGCTTACATTATTTAAACTGAAGAAAAGAATTACGACAGCCATTTAAATGGTATTTAATCATGTCAATGTTTCTAAACATTGTATATCCTACGATATTTCCTTTACATAAACACGATTTTAGAGAAATTTCTAGTTTCATAGTTCCAAAATGCTTGACGTTTTGAAAATTATACATTATATCTTCTCGTATTCTATGCGATATATTCACAGATTCATTTTTTACTTCATTGTACGAAAGTAAAGGAAATATTGTAATTGCGAAAAATTTCGATATCATACTTCAAACAAAATATCCATTTTGACCGTTAACCATTTGAAAGGTGTTTTGCGTGACATCTGTACATGCCAACAGAATAAAGGACCCTTTTTCCAAAACGAATTGTAAATGGATTTAAAACGGATTCAGAAGGTATTTATTTTGTGACGTCTGTAGGTGCATATGTACGTACCTCGCATAACTCAAAAATTATTACCTTAGAACGTTGACATTTGGTATATGTGACGGCTACATCATGCAGTTGCGCACTTCCCACTTGTGCTGAAATCGGCCGCATCAAACGTACATATGTATATATCCACTCAGTTACCCGGATTGAATTAAGATTTGTTTCATGGCAAGCACTCTAAACCCTTTTAGCCTGATTGAATTACGCTGTGCTTATATGCTAGTTAAGGTTTTTACCCCTTTCATTAATTTGTGTGTAGTAATTGTTGCATTTTAGCCTGATTGAATTTTGCTGTGCTTATATGCTGGTTACGGTTTTTATCCCTAGTAGTTGTTGAACTATCAACAATTTAAACGTATAACTGGTGCTAAGCCTAACGAGGCTATCATTTGTTTACATTTGAAACTCTGAGTAGAATAGGGAATTATGCTAGTTTGCGCACCAAATTCTGTCTTGCTAGCTGAATTGCTTGTTTTTGCTTAGAAACTCTATATATTTATTGCAAAAATTGTTTTTTTTAACTGTTTTTAACTGTATTTGGTGCTTTAGGCTTTTCTCGTATTTTGCATTTTTTAATGAAGATGCTTTGAGTTTTTACGTTGTAGAGATATTAAGATTATTTTTGGAAGCCGGAGAGATAAAAAATTAGCAACGCCTTTGCCGGGAATCGAACCATGGACCTCTGGAATACTGCCCCAGCGTGCAGAACCACTACACCACGCAGGCACGCTAGGAAAGTGGGAGAAATACCTTATATATTCCCCTTTTTAAAGGGCGACTGGGGTTTCTAGGGCACCCATTCGCCAAATCCTGGGTGTGGAGATTCCTCATCCAACACCCTTTTAGTTCGGGCGCCACTGTAGAGACATTAGGATTATTTTTGGAAGCCGGAGAGATGAAAATTTGCCGGGAATCGAACTACGGACCTTTGGAATACCGGCTCAGCGTACAGAACCACTGCACTACGAAGGCACGCTAGGAAAGTGGGAGAAATACCTTATAACGTATAGAAAAGGACTGTGAAACCGTCGAATCCGTTCCTTCGAAATTGGGGCGAAACTAAACGAAGTCATACTGTCACCTATATAGTGTTCAATGCTCTAGCCAATGACAGGCACAACCTTGCCGCGATGAACTCCATAGGTTTGTTTGATATTTCTGTCAGACAAGTGAGATAAGTCACAACACAACAAGAATACGTAAAACAATTATTGTTAAGTTTTGACTTTAGAAAACGGATTGTATTTCCATTTTTCGAGTCTTGTTAGCTGTTATTGCCTCAGCACTTTTATAAATGGTAAACGCTGCCTTTTGATAAGAAATTAGTTGCTCTACTAACATACTTATTCCTTCCAGTTCTCAGAGATATTTCGATTCGTCAGCCCATAAAATTCTTTATGTATCTTTCAAATTAAAACATACTTCTTAACTAAGTCATGATTTAGAAACAGTGTAAGTAATACTTAGTAGGTTATGTCTTTAAATGTTAGTTAATGACACCTATAATTGATATACGTTTCAGAAATAATAGATGCAGTAATAATACGTATAATTGGTATAATTTACATTAATATAATTTATAGGGAAGCCAGAATTTTTATAATTATTTCCATCATTGTACCATCAGGAACCATCATTGTATTTTAATAAATTATAATAGAAGTTTCTAATATTATGATTACGTTCTTCAGTGAATAATAATCGTCTGGATACTAAATAACAATAAATGTTTTATTACATTATTTTAGCAAGTTGTTTCGAAACATAACAACCGAGAAAAAATATAAATATATGTAACAGAAATAGGTAAATAATTTTTAAGATAAAATAAACTTATAGGGATAAACTGGAGCTTTTGATCTTCAGAATGCAGTTGAGCTACATCTTGGGTAATAGTGGCACTTTCAGTGTATTGAACTGAACTGTATACATGCACTGTTGTTTGGTCTTTATATGGAGAGCAAGCGAGTTGGCTAAGCACTTTTCCTCAGACGCATGGCAACATAAGGCAAGGTAACTCTCGAATGCTTCTCTGTGGTAAATAGCCTAAAGCATAAATAGCATAGCGTAGACCTATGCAGCCATAAGAAGTTCTGATATACAGCTAGTGACACAAATATGTGGATTGTGCAAGAATTTTACCTTAATAAAACTATTTTTCCATCATGCTATATTTTAAACTTCTTTCACTAGAGAGCATGTAATATTTACGTTAAATTATTTTCGCTGAATACAAATTTTATAAATAAAATATAGATTTTGATTCTCATAAATAAGATTGGAGTTTTACTTATTTCATAACCAGTGAATTAAAATCCGTGATATATGTTCCCAGAGAACTGCAGATTATAATAAGAAGTTTCAAATATTTATTTTCGACACATTTATCACACCCACTATCCTCGTTTACGTCATTTATGTCGCCAAATATCTTGCCATTTGGCGAGGAATCTTCAGCGTTAGTTCGGCAACCTTGGGATGCTAGATAGAGCCAAGTAGAGAGAACAACGGCGACGAGGATCCCAGCCAAGAAATCTCTTTCTCTCAGGAAGCGGTTACAGTTTGTGTAGAGTTGGCCAAATCTTTTCGATTGCTTCTTCCGGTAAAGTAGCGACGTCGAAAAAGTGACCAGATTGTTTTTATTCTGTTTTGTTCGAAAAAGGTGTTTTGGATTATTGGTGGTGTTCGGCTTTTGACAGAGTAATCTCCATATAAAAAAGGTTAGTGAAGACTTCTTTACTAGTAGTTCATGATAGAGTGACTTAAATTTATGTGCTAATCAATGAAAAATAATTAAGTTATTTGTAAAATTTTAATGAAAGGTGTACTATGAAATTTAACTTCCCTTCTTCAGCTCAGTAGATGCTATTCCATTTTAAATTCATATATTAGTACTTATTTTTTTTAATTCTCCCGGACAAATATAAAAATTGTTATTTATACGTTAATATAAATAAGAATATCAGCATATACACTACATGTATCTCATTTTTGCATTATTTTTTATAAAAAAAAATTGGTGCTTAAATGTTAGGATAGTTCATTTTAACGCAAAATGAATGGTACGTTTTGCATATATATAGAATAAACATTTAGAAAAATAAAGTGTAGAACATTCTATAACTTTTGCCTAAAAGTAAATTAATTTAAATTTACGATACGTTTATAAGACTATCATCATTAAATTATTAAATAGGTTATTAAATTTTTGCATCAATAGCTTATAATTTTTAATAAGGATATTTTAAGATTATGAATTTCCTCTGAAGATGGCAACATCTAGAATTGTCTCAGGGAATGCTGATTGGCTACAAGTAACAGTGAAGTAGTTCTGTGAAATGTAACTAAAGAATATATTTTATTTGAGATATATTTCAAGGAAGGTTTTCTAATTTTTAAATTCTTTAATACACATTTTAATTAATTTTAATACAGTGAGAAATTTGTTATACATAGGAGCATATTGAAATACCTGTATGCTGAAAAATTAAATATATCGCCATCAGTTGTTGAAAGAAAAATGAAACTGAGCGTTCTAACTTGCTTTTACTTTATTTTCTGTGTTGAATAATTTAATAAATAATACTCTTTTAATTCCATACTGTGGAGATAAAGTAATCACATGTTTTCAATATTTTGTTTGCTAATACTTCAAAACGTGTTTAATTGTTTATGACAAAGCAAACTAAAACTGTGTGCTTTTTGTGGTCTTCTTTCGTGAAGGATGTTCTAAGGAAATTGCTTAGTATGTGTAAATGAGAAATGCGTAGTTAATGTAATGCAACCATTTCGCTTGCCGGAGAATGGAAACCACAGAGAAATTATTAACCTCTTTTTTGTATTTAATCCTTAAATGTTTCACTTAACAGTTTTAAAATTAAAGAAATATTTATTTTATTTCTTATGAAGTAATTATATAAGCTGCTTTCATAAAAAATAAAATTACATAAAGTCAAATTGTTTTACACAAACTCTAAAAGCATCTTTGTATAACCGTGCTGGGGAAAAATGGATAATAATAAGTTCCGATTACAGGGCATGGGAGTGATTTAAGAACTGTAATTCATTTTGTTAAAATACTCCAAATATTCATTGTATTTTGCATCAGAAAATGTATATATTAATAGCCGTATATTTTTAGATTTTAAATGTTGCTAAACTAACATTAACAAATGAACTATTTTACTCTCCTAGAATAAGATTTTGCAATCTGCTAACATATATTATACAGGATGTTCCAAATGAACTATACATTTTATTTTATTAAACCTTCTTCTTTCTTTATCCTAAACACGTTCTTCAGATTGTAATGTTTTTTAATGATAAGATAGGTATTTTTATGAAAACAGTCGCAGCAAAAGCCTCAGAACCACTTAGGAAAATATTATTAGTAGCAAAATGGTCAAATTTTGCATTTAGAACTCTGAATTTAGAAAATTTTGTAAATACAGAATTTAAATTTTGATGCAACTTCAATATGGTAAATGTTTAATTAGTAAAATGTTTTTCATGCTTTCATAAGTTTACTATAAAATTTCTTCTTTATCAACATGCTGTTTCTTTCTAGTTTGAAATAAAACAAATGATATTTTAAGAGTTTTTTTATCATATTTGTAAGATATTTTATTCATATATATTTACTTATTTATATTATTATATTATTTTATTATTAGATATTATTCATTATTATATTTATTTATTATATTTATCAGTGAAGATTAAATTTTAAGAATGCTGCCATTGTTGTTACGGAGTGAATCTATAAAGAATTCCCCGCTGACTACATTTACAATTTATAACTCATGCTTGAAAACCTAAGCTATGGAAGCAATAACTTAAATTTTTACCTTCTTCTAGGAAGTATAGAAAGTATAGTGATCGCAAAAAATTTCGAGTATCATATTTCAACGAAAATATCCATTTCGACTTCTTTCCAATCCATTTGAACGATGTCTTTGCGTGACATCTATACGCACGTGCAACACAGACGACTCTTTTTTCAAAAGGGATGGTAAAATGGATTCAGAAAACATATTTTCATGATGTCTGTACTTACGTACAAATCTCGCGTAACTCAAAAACAAGTAGCCTCAGAACGGTGAAGTTTTGTATATGGGACTTCTGTAACATGCAGTTGCGCACCTCCCCTTTTGGTTGTAGTCTGCTTCACTAAACATATATAAATGTATATATATATGTATATCCACTCTGTTACCTGGCTCGATGAGCTCAGTTTTTTATTCCTATATGTTAGAAATTGTGAATGTTTTTCTTTATGAGTCATTGAATTATGTGGTTCCTATGTTCCTGTTAAGGTTTTTATGCCTTTAGTTAATCTGCATGTAATAGTTGTAGAATTATCAACAATGGTGTTTATGTGGCGATTAACGAAGCCACCTTTTGTTTACATTTGAAACTCTTAGTAGAATAGTGAATTCAGTCAGTTTGTGTAACAACTTTGTGTTTTTGCTGAGAGGAACCAAACGTAAACGTCCAATTTTATACACACACACACACACAAAAAAAAAAAAATCTGTCTTCTTGGTCGCTGGTCGAATTGCTGGTTTTGAGGAAGAAACTTTAATTTAAATTGTAATTTTTTTAAATGTATTTGTAATTTTTACTGTATTCTATTTTTACTATATTTTTTACTGTACTGTACTGTGTTTACTGTATTTTTTACTGTATTTTACTGTTTTATGTTTTTCTGCACTTTACAATTTTAGATGAAGATGTTTTGAGTTTTTACGTATTTTTGCCTTGCCGCAATGTGAGAATGGAATTAATTGAATGAGACACATATCTCTAGTGAAATTTGAGAAAATAGATTTAAATGAAATTCAGCCAAAAATGTGTATAATTTAGTAGTCCGTGCAGCAAGGTCAAGTGAAGTCCACATCAGATTTTTGAGTCCCATTATATTTATCATACATTACGCTACGAGATCATTTATTATCCCTTCGGCCTGGCAGAGTCTTAATTAAGTCAACACACTACAGAGAAAGAGAGAGATGTACATAAAAAAGAGTTTTAATTTCACTAAATTATTTCTAGTGATAATTAAATAAAAATTAGCTGATATATGCATTTCCTTTGTCTTTCACGTGGGACTGAGATTAAGAGGACAGTTGGCGAACTGGAAATTCCTATAAAAGGTGATAAGGGGGAAGGAGAATAGGTCTAAATATCATTTAAGCAAAACGACATGTAAACTAAATTCAGTTCGTCAAGAGGGAATTTTCATGTATAACAAATTAATCGAAGCGGAGATGCAATGCAATTGGAACGTCACAACTGTAAAGAGGGCTTTTCATTATGTTTTCCTGCATATGGAGGAAAGGTCACTCCTCTGCATCTACAAGAGAAACTAATTGTAAGGTTTCTTCGCATAACGAAAATAACTTCTTTAACTTAAAGAAAGGAAATTAGGTTTAAATATTTAGTTAGAAAACTATGTCGACGGTCTTTTGTAACACAGATTTTACTAAATATTGAGCTAAAATATTCGACGGGTACTGTCATGTCGCGAATTAGTTATTAATATGTGTTTTAAGTTGTCGTTATCCTGTTCACGGTATAATTGTTAATCTTTTATAACTTTTACTCATCTTAGGTGCCGTACACACTAACTAAAAAAAATCAAAATAAAGCCTCCACTGTTAAGTATCTGAAAATTAGGGGTTTTAATCTTTCATAACTTTAAACTTAAACTGACTCATAGTGTCGGACAAAAACTCAAAAAATAATAATCATCATAAGAACATTCATATATCATATCGAACGATCGTATAGCAGTCGCGAGGTCACGGCACCATGAGTCAGTTTAAGTTCAAAGTTATAAAAGATTAAAACCCCTAATTTTCACATATTTAACAATGGAGCCTTTATTTTGATTTTTTTAGTTAGTGAGTCCGACACCTAAGATGAACAAAAGTTATAAAAGATTAACAATGCCGTGACCAGGATAACGATAATTTAAAAAAACATATTAATAATTAAAATTCGTGACATGACAATACTTGCAGTGCAAAAGAATTTCTTTGGTACATTAAATCTGGTTTATAATTATTCAGAAATTGTCACTCGTTAACAATATGTATTAATTCAATAATCCCATCTGCAAATAAAGCATAACATGAAAATTATTTTTGCAAATCTTAAATAAAGCATCTTTCATAAAATATGCCGACAACAAAACAGAAAATGCTTTAGGCGAAGAGCATAAAGTGAAACAAAAAAAAGTGTGGCAAAACGAAAGGAATAATAAAAATGTCAACTATTTTCGTTGACAGGTTTTTATTGTATCTGCTAAAGCCTCCGTGTCAAACGGTTCTTCCATTTTTCATGTGGGGATGTGTTAGAAATTTTTAAAAAAGTGAATGAGAAGCTGTTTTTTAGAAGTTCTATTGCGAGAGTTACAGCTAAACCAAAACCCGTTTTAAAAAGATTATATAAAACGTTATATAAAACATCAAGGATTCACAAATGAAAAATATCTGATATGAACACCACATAACTTACTTGTACGGCCTATTAAATTGCAATAATTTTTTGCAGCAACTCCTTTAAATTTTATATCCTTGAATTTCAGTAGAGCTATATTTCTCATTCAATTCAATTAGTTCCGACTTCGCGGAAAGGCAAAAATGAATAAAAAAACAAAATGTCTTAATTAAAAATACTAAAATACACCAAAACCTAAAAATACCGAATACAATTA